TGCAATCATATTCTCTGTGTGGATCACCGTTGGAGGCTAGACAATTGGACAGCTGTGGTGGCGAATCAAAGTTGTGGAACGAAAAGAAAAGCAAAAGGATTGCAGATCTGGAAAAGGTACAATCTTATCACAATTTCTATCTAAACACAAAGGCGATTCTTGGTGGGAATCGAAAATTATTTTAAATTCCGCTATGTATGTATAAGTAGATTCCCAACAGTACATACTCCATCCAGACGTATAACAAGGTCGATAATAGGCGTATAACAAGATTGATAACAATATTGTCAGACTCAAAGGAAATGATCGACAGACAATCTGATTTTCTAACAATGCAGATGATGTTGTAAAGATGTCTCACACGACGAAATGTTCTAAGAGGGGCTTGGACACTGTAGTAATTAAATCAAGATCCAAAAAGAAGAAGATTGCATATGCACATAAATTACAGGCAATTGTTTTTATTTGTTAAAAAAATTTTGGTTTATGGTCGCACACGTATGTTTACGTATTGAAGTTAATTTCATACTTTCAATACGAAGGTGTGTATCTAACCGTGACTTCAGATTATTATCATCAGTGTAGCTAACTGTTCATGCAACTTCAATTCCAAAATTTGATTTTTCCCATAAATAGACTGCATTTTTTGGATGATATCAATGATTGTGGACAACATGAACATTATATATAGCAGGTCACTTTGCATCAATATTTACATCCTGCACATCCCATACTTTAACATCTTCGTGATCATACCATGCTAATTTTATACGTTGTTAATTTAACGATCTTGCATGCATCAGGAATCTTTATACTACATTCCCCTTGAGAATAGATTTGGTGCAAACGTGAATGTTTTATTCAGGAAAAAGATTATATCAAAACTAAACAGCAAACTAATTGCATTATAGAAAGAATTGTTCAGATGAAGATGTTTTGGACATTTCTGACAAATGAATGAGATGCGATTGCAACATCAGGTTATATACAAGTGTCGGAAGTCTGACAACCACCTATGATGAAATGTGGTTTAAAATTATCGACAAACATTTCAAGTTTTCTATTAAGGAGTTCGCACTTGTAACTGGTTTGAAGTGCCACGGTGATGATAACATTAGCATGTACAATATAAGTCATAGTCGAATCAAGCATCCATTCTTCAAGCATCGAAAAAGTGTGTATAGATGAGACATTGAAAATACTTTTAAGAACCTGATTGTCGATACTACCGACGAAGATGCTGTGAAGCTGGGCATCATTTACCTAATTTCGAGTTTACTCTACACCACAACAAGTGGATGTGTTGTAGCAGATGAAATCTTGAACCTCATCGACTCACCACATGGAAACATTCCAATGGGGAATGAATTATTTCGGATTACATTTAAGTACTTGAAGCTCACTCTTGCCAAGCCGACCCAAAAGTCAAATATCCAAAGGGAATAATGTCTTACAGACTAAATGGGTTCCATCTTGCATTTCAGATATGGATATATGAAGCCATTCTATCTCTAAATGGAAAGATTTGTAGAAGAGTCAACCACAGCTTTCCTCGTATTATAAACTGGAGAACCGATGATTCACGGGTATCTATTGCAACACTTGATAAGATATTATTCAACTTGCCCAAGGTATGAAGTATAATATACTCACGCATTTTACAAATATGCAATTTTGATTTAGATAAATCATAGTATCCGATATGTATAATTTTAAATGACGTATCTAAGTTGAAGTTTTGATGATACATCTATCCGAAGCAGAGAAGACTGCACATTACTTTCAGGGCTTATTGTTAAGGGAACATATTACGATACCATCAATTATTGTTGTAGGTGCTAACCTGGCCAATGATCCAATTCACCAAGCAAAAGATCACAACTATGCACAAACTTCTAATCCTTCGTTCATGCCATGCTCCAATAATATAGCTAATGACCAATCAAAAATGAGGGAAGTTCATTGTTAAAATTATGAATGTTTGCATTTATTAATATTTACATTTTACAGTCATGATTACAACTCAATGTATGAATATAATCCACGCAGCCACCCATCATCAAAGTATTGGAGTATCTCATGCATCAAAGCTTGAGATACAAGAAAAACAGTCCTAACTAATGCTTTGTCAAATTGAAATGAAGACAAACATGAACCAACTCAAAAGGTTTGTGGAATCCAGTTTCGATACATTAATGAGAATGTTTGTGAGGGTAAAAAAATGGCATAAAAGGTCAAGAGACAATTGAATGGGTTGAGATCCCATCGAATGAAGCAATTACAACAACTAATGAGGTAAGGTATGAGACATTATTTTGTTAAATAATGTATACAAAATTTGGAGCATTTTTTTTTAATGATTATATAACCTTTTTTTCTCATGGCATATCATGAACAAAGGGAAACCAGTTGCACAAACTAGCGATGGAATGTCCTCTACGATTGTGTTCCAGTCAAGTGTAGATCACATGAATTTAAAACCAATTGACAGTAACCCTACAATAACAGTTGGTGCTAGTGACGATAAAATCGACACCCCACAAAATCAAGCAATTGATGACAAACTATATGGAGGATCTCATTCAAGTGGATGAGATCATAAAAAGTGCAAGTTTAATGCAATCTAAATATGTAGTGCATGTATTGGAAATACATATTGAATAAAATTTTTATATTCAGTTGTGACATACTAACGGTATATTATATTATGGGATAATGATATTGTCTAATACAATAATATTAGAACAATGTTACGTCCACCAAAGCAAGCACAACACATTGCCATATTAGTTTAAATTCATTGTTATGCAATGCAATTAGAAAATAATAGCATGTCGAACCATTCATGAGTACATATGTCTGTTATTTGATTAATGATGATCCGGACTAATCTCAGGCGTGTTAACATGAAATGTGCAGATAAGCTCACATGTGCCAATCAGTGTTGTTAATGTCGAAACTAGAAATGAGACAACGGAAAATGTCGGTTATCTAACTGCACAAAAATCTGGGAGCTCTATAATGACGCCAAAACGATCTTCTGCTCAGGTAACAAGTTACCTAAGATTGCGATAAAAACAATTTCACCACCAAACTAAATATATACATGAAATGTTTTTACTGACATTTTAACAATTCATTCTTTTTGTTTCAGATTCCAAATACAGGTAATGTACAATTCGACAATCCTGCTATAATACATCATATAATATATATTATATTTCCATGAATTATTGAAATGAATATGTTATTATAGTGATTTCAATTTTAAGAATTTTGTATGTTTTTATACAGGAAAATCCGTCAACCATGCTTTCAACTTATATGCATTCAAAGAGAAAATAGTACCACCAAACGAAGAAGACATTGATGTATTTAAGAACTGGTTAGTTGACGGTTACAAATCTCGACACATTTACGCTTGTCCACAACAAACTCGATGTTATGTAATATCTTTCAGTATAATCATATTATTTATCTAAATTTCACACCATCCATCCTGGTATAGCAAATACAAGTTCCTTCTATCAAAAGATTCAATCAATCCACCATTTCAATTTGGACCTCACATTGTTGACACTAAGACATCGTGGCACAAGTTATCTCAGCACAATGTCTATCTGAGGGATTCGGTATAAATCTTACGGGAATGTAGGGTTATTTATGTAATTCACCATGTTAGCTGAGCTGTCATTTTGGTTAAATGTATATATATGTACACAATTGTATCATGAACATCAGTTAGTAAGAAAAACTCTTTCCCCATTCGCGCCTTCTCTCATTTTACTCTCTAATCGCAGTATAAAATTCACATGGTATCAGAGCATGTGAATAAGAGTTTATCCGAACATTATTTTTGACTAATTGAATTTGGAAAAATGTTTAACGCGGCACATGAATGTATAATTCTACTATATCTCAAGATGCTGAAATTCAGAGACATGATGTCTTACAAGGGGACGACAAAAAATTTATTTTTTTGGGTCAATTCTTCTATCTGCATACAAATCTTGCAAGGATGACATGGGAGCAATTTCAAATTTCAAGTCTCTAGTTCAGTATGCCAATGGCGATTACATTCACTGCAATACATCTTAGTATTGAAACTGAATTGAGGAAGAGAGAGAAACTCTTTTATTTGATCACCGGAAAGTAAGTAGAGTTTTACAACACAAGTATAAATAGAAAGGAAACAGAAAGCTGTCAACTAATTCCAGCTGTTAACTAACTAATCAACTAACTGACTAACTGTATACAAATGTAATAATACGTAATACTCCCCCTCAAGATGTGCTGTAAATATTTTTTACACACATCTTGGTCATTAAGGGAGAAAGTATGGAAGCTGGTAGAGGCTTTGTGAAGGCATCAGCGAGCTGGTGCTGTGATCTGACTGGAAGGACCTTAATCGCCCCAGCGGTGATCTTGTCACGAATGAAATGAAGATCGATCTCAATGTGCTTTGTTCGCTCATGAAAAGTTGGATTCTTTGCAATCTGAATGGCAGCCAGATTATCACAGTAGATTATAGCTGGTGAAGTGTTGGCGACCTGAAAATCCACCAATAATTGATTTATCCAAGTGAGCTCACTGACTGTTGCTGCAAGAGCCCGGTATTCTGCCTCTGCTGAAGAACGAGAAATGGTTGGTTGACGCTTAGACTTCCAAGAAACTAGTGAACCACCAATGAAAATGCAAAAGCCAGTAGTGGATTTTCGTGTATCAACACAGGATCCCCAGTCAGCATCAGAAAAAGCCTGAAGTTTGATGAGGGAATCTGAACCTGACAATGAATTAGAAGAAAAAAAAAGACCTTGGCCAGGACTTCCTTTCAAATAGCGAAGAAGGTGATGAACGGCCTTGAGATGAGGTAATCTTGGTTGAGACATAAATTGGCTCAACTTGTGTACCGCAAATGTAATATCCAGTCGAGTGAGAGTTAAGTAAATCAATCTTCCAATGAGCCTCCTGTATTGGGATGCATCTGACAGCAATTCTCCATCAAGTGAGCTAAGAATAACCTTTGGATCCATGGGACTGCTAACTGGTTTGCAATCCAAATAGCCGGCATCTTCAATCATTTGTAATGTATATTGCCTCTGTGAAATGATAATTCCTGATGCTGCTCGCACAATTTCAATTCCCAAGAAAAATTTTAAACAGCCCAAATCCTTGAGTTTGAATTGAGAGTGCAAGTATTCCTTCAATTCTTTAATAACCTGCATGTTAGGCCCTGCAATGACTATATCATCAACATACACCAATAAGGCTACAAAGTTATCTCCTGTGCCCTTCGTAAAAAGAGAGTAATCAGCTTTAGACTGGATGAAACCATGCTGAATAAGAGAAAGAGAAAACTTGGAATTCCACTGCCTTGAGGCTTGTTTAAGGCCGTATATAGACTTGTGTAATTTGCAAACCAATTGACACTCCCCCTGTTTGGGAGGTTTAAGAAGGTTATAGCCAAGAGGAAGGTCCATATACACCTCTTCAAACAAATCTCCATTCAGAAATGCATTGTTCACGTC